TCCCGAATCACACAGTGGAAGAAGGTGCACAAGTGAGACTCAAGGATCTGGCTACACCTCCTGTCACTGCCACTCAGAATGTTAGATCTTGGCGAGTGGCTCTGACTGCCTGATCCTCAGATTTCAATGTATTAGTGACTTTTAGGTGAGAGTGTACTTCAGCATCGTCCTTGGAGTTTTTAATTTTTTTTTAATGTTTATTTTTGAGAGAGACAGAGCATGAGCAAGAGAGGGGTAGAGAGAGGGAGACACAGAGTCTGAAGCAGGCTCCAGGCTCTGAGCTGTCAGCACAGAGCCCGATGTGGAGCTCGAACTCACAGCCTGTGAGATCATGACCTGAGCTGGAGTCAGATGCCCAACTGACTGAGCCACCCAGGCGCCTCCCTTGGAGCTTTTAAAAAATACATGCCCTCTCCACCCCTCAACCTGCAGAATCAGAATTTTCAGAGGTGGGCCTGGACATCTGCATGTTATAAAGCTCCATTAAATGTATCCATTCTGGAACATTTCTTATTGAGAGTCCTAAGCCATCAAGTTACTAGAGGGACAACATAGATCTGGGGATAAAGGTACATTTTAGCAGATAAAATGCTCTAAAATTTGGTTAGAAGTCTTATCTTCTACTTTTCTTCCCCACAACACACAGACACAGACACTTTCTAAGCTCTCGGTCTAACTCTCTGTCTTCTTTCCATAAGTGGGTCCTTGTCTCTTCCTTACTGTTGAATTATTGAGTTCAAATGCTCTGATCCATCCAAACACAATGATTTCAAGCCACTGTATAGTTTTCTTTTTTGAAGTGATGCTACTTGGTATTTTGTAGGTTTAAAAAAATTGTTTTTAACATTTATTTATCTTCTGGGGGGACTGGGGGTGGAGAGAGAGAGGGAGACACAGAACCCGAAGCAGGCTCCAGGCTCCTAGCTGTCAGCACAGAACCCACTAAGGGGTCTGAACTCACGAACCGCAAGATTATGACCTAAGCTGAAGTGAGATGCCCAACCAACTGAGCCACCCAGTTGCCCGCCCCTGGCATTTTGTAGTTTTGATTCATATTTATATCATATCAGCACACATATCATTTAATGTAGTGGACTGGGTATTATTTCTATTTCATAGACGAAGACACTGAGGTTCAAAGCGCTTAAGTAACTCAGTAAATGTTAGAGGGGGAATGTATACCCTCGTCTTTTTATTCGGAGCCCAAGCTTTTCCCCCACTGACTCACTCCAAGAATCATATCTAAATTTGTACTTAGAATTCAAATGTCAACCATTACAAAGTGAACCAGCAAAGAATGGGACCTAGAGAGCCTTTAAAACCTCTTCCATGGTTTGGTAGTTTAATGATCTAGCGCATGTTTGGAAATCTTGATGGCTGACTGAATTCTTTCTTTCTCCCCCAGATATTATGAGTTGAGAAGAGAATGAGTCGTTACCCCACCCCCACCCCCGTGTGGGACCTGGCTCCTCTCCCAGAGAACGACACAGGCATAGCTCCACCCTGTTGAGCTTATGCCTGGCTCTCTTCTCTCATTACTGCAAGCTTGGTAGGTCTTGTCCTTACAGCAGGCAGAAAGGAGGTCACACATGAGAAGCAGTGGGCTGTTCCCATGTGTATGGTGGAGGCACGTGGGGGTTGGCTTTGAGTATTTCCCACCCCTCAGGTCAGTTAGGCTTTTATAAAATCCAAGTGTGATATGTCTGGTGAAATAGTTTTCCTTGACAGAAGGCCTTATTAGGAACAGAGAGTTCTGGGTATCTTTACTTTTTAAATTAAAAAAAAAATAGTTATTTATTTTTAAGAGAGAGAGTGACCGAGCAGGGGAGGGGTGGAGGGGGGGCGGTGCTGGACACAGGATCCAGTCTCCAGGCTCTGAGCTGTCAGCGCAGAACCTGACACAGGGCTCAATCTCAGGAACGGAGGGATCATGACCTGAGCCGAAGTCGGACGTTGAACCGACTGAGCCACCCAGGTGCCCCCTTGGGTTTCTTTAAAAAATGGTTATTTTCCTCCTTCTCCTCCTGGAAGCACAAGAAGAATTTTCTCCATCTTCATAGTGAGGAGACCTCCCAAGGTTCTTGGAGATAGAATTCACGAAAGGATGGAAATCTCTTCTAAGACTGGACCTCCTGCATCTTCAATCCTTCAGTGAGTTGAAGCCCCCAGCAAGTGGCCAATGACAGTGTCGAATGTTCCGGCCAGCACCGGTTCCAGCAGCGGCAGCTTCTGCTCCTGGGCTTTTGGCTCTGGTCTGCTGTGATTTTCTGTGTCCACCTGTCTCTCCAGTTTTCAGGGCAGCAGTTTGCCCCATAAGCCCAATTCTCTAGTGGATCTAAGAAGCGTGGTTAGTTTTCAGTTTGTTGAGCTTTTTTCTTGTGAGGACTGGCAGTGATGTCTTCTCAGCTCCGTATGTGCCAGATCAGAAAATGCCTTTGTACACAAGGGAGGGAAGTGAGGAAAAATTACTTACATTCTTTGTCTTGGTTGAGGCTCAGAAAGCACAATTAGGATAATTGCTGGGTGCAGGTGGTGAATGCAAGAGGTGATCCCTGGGTGCAGTAACAATTGGGTAAAGTGAGTCAGGAACAGGAGAAAAGCCAATGAATGGTATGGCTTTAGCCTGCTGGTTTACTGGCACTGGTGTGCGGTGGGTGGGGGGGTGGAGGGGAGGTGCTTAAAGACTCTGCTTTAACATATCTTCATCTTCACCACAGCCTTGGGATAGAGCCTGAATAGTTCTGACTCTGGTGTTAAGACTGCCTATGTTGGAAAAGAGGAAGTGCTGTCAAGAATGGGGGTGGGGGTAGGGAGCACCTGGGTGGCTCAGTTAAGCAAAAGACTCTTGATTTCGGCTCAAGTCACGATCTCATGGTTTGTGGGATCGAACCCCACATTGGGCTCTGCGCTGACAGCCCAGAGCCTCGCTTGAGATTCTCTCTCTCCTCTCTCTCTCTGCCCCTCCCCCACTAGTGTGCTCACTCTCCCTCTCTGTCTCAAAATAAATAAATAAACTCAAAAAAATAGAACAGGGAGGCGCCTGGGTGGCTCAGTTGGTTGAGCGTCCGACTTTGGCTCAGGTCATGATCTCAGGTTCCTGGGTTTAAGTCCCGGGTCAGGCTCTGTGCTGACAGCTAGCTCAGAGCCTAGAGCCTGCTTCGGATTCTGTGTGTGTCTCTCTCTCTGGCCCTCCCCTGCTCACACTGCCTTTATCTCTCTCTCTCTCTCTCTCTCTCTTTCTCTCTCTCAGAAATAAATTAAAAAAAAAAAAAAAAAGAACAGGACTCGGAGGCTCTACTTGTAGGGGCTTCTGGGTGGCCCGAGGTTGGTCACCTTCCTCTCAGGGGCTCAGCTTTCTTCAGGCTCACAGGAGACCTTTCTACCCCGAACATCCAAATGGGGGCAAACCCCAGCGCCTTGCATGGACTGCGTGAGGTCTGAAGGCAAATCGATTTTCACAGAAACTGTGAAGTAGCCTGCCCCTTTGAAAACTTGTGAGTTTTTGTTTGCGTTGTTTTGACTTTACACAGTTTTTCTGATTCTTTCTAGGATATTTACTTATTTATTTGTTATTTTTGTCCTTCTGGTGTGACTTTTGCTCTCTGGAATGGAGTTCTCAGGGGGTCTAGCCCTGGGCCTGAGCAGCAGCTCGCTCTGGGGGTCACACTGCTTCACTTCTTGGCTCGCTTGTTACAGGTAGCCGGCTATTGGGGCGGGGGGGCTGGGTGTGAGCCCTCAGGGAGCCCCGGCCTCACCCAAGGAGGTCCCAGAACAGGGCTCCTGCTTACACAAAAGCAGGGTGATAGGAATGAAGGTATATCCGGAATACCTAGGAATGTATCTGTGTACCTAGGAATGCATAGTGATAGGAATGCATCTCTCTGCCCAGTCTGAATTCTTAAGTGGCTGTTGCCTCTCTGAGTCCTTATATGCACATTTATTTGTAGTTTTCTTCACCCTGTACTACTATATATATTATATACAGTAGTATACTATATATGGTATAGTAGTATGCTATATATATAATGTACTATAATATAGTATATATATATATATACTTATATAGTATATATACATATACATATAATTTAGTTTTGTTGTTATTCTCAGCATGTTTAAGAAAGGCTTTATGGCAACTTAACAAAGAAACCTGTACCACAGCGACAACAAGTAGCAAAACCTTCTATTTGCTTGCTAAGTGCTGGTAACTATTTTTCAACTCATTCAATCCTCAGCATAGCCCTGCGAGGTAGGTGGTATGATTATCCCCATCATTTAGATGAAGAGCCCAAGGTACAGAGAAGAGAAGGGGCTTCCCCAGGCCTCCAAGGGAGAGAATGGCGAAATGAGGGTCCAACCCCGGGTGGGCTGGCTGGGTCTGTGTTCTGAGCTGGAGGGATAAGCAGAGAAAGGTGAGGCAGGCAAGGTGAAGGTAGGTGCTCCTTCACACATCTGTCTTTCTTGATAGCCTGAGAAAGAGGATGAGCAGATGATGGTACTCGATAGGTGTGTTCTTTGTTCTTTCGAAGACAACTGCCTAATTCTGCCTTCCCTGTTCTAAGTAGTGGTAAGTATCCATAATTATGCAGCCTAGGGGCAGTGGTGAGGAGAACCAGCCCCTTCCATTGTGCTCTTCCACTACAATGTGATTTCAACACCTTCCCTCCCTTCCAGGCTGACTTTTGGCTGAGAAGTAATTCTCACTGGAGGACTAGACCTTCCAAGATGAGCCCAGGAGTCCCAGCCCAGAGAGGGACACCCTTAGAAGAGCAGCCTGAAGACTCCCATTTGGGTTACCCAAAACTGCTGCTTCTGCCTTCTGCCCGTTCTTCCCTTATTACCAACCCTCTCCTTTCTTTATTTTTAAAAAATTTTTATTTTATTTGGGAGAGAGAGAGAGAGAGAGAGAGAGAGAGAGAGAGAATCCCAAGCAGGCTCCATGCTCAGTGCAGAGACTGACGTGGGGCTCAAACCCACGACTCTGGGATCATGACCTGAGCCAAAATCAAGAGTTGGACACTGACTGAGCCACCAAGCTGCTCCTCAACTCCTCCTTTAGACAAGCCTACACTTTCCTGGGATTTAGTGTGGCCTCAGAGAAAGGTAAGCCTTGGATCTGCCACTCATTAGACAAGTCATCCTAGGGTCCAGGAGGTGAAGATATGGCTGGCATCACCCACACAGCAGGTGCTCCAAGGCTAGTGTTCATTTGTCCTTATTTGAAATCCCCAAAGTAGGGGAAATGGACTTAGTGTAGGGACCATCCAGCCTCATTATTCCCCAGACCGACCACCTTCAAAATTCTCTGTATGTGTTTGGCATATACCTATAGAGTTTCTGGGAGCCGAAGAGATGCTTAAAATAGAAGTAAAATTATTGCCACATTAGGGACTACATTTCTTGTTTCTTGTTTCTCTCCTTTGACCAAATCAAGTCCCTCCAGTCCCTTCTACTCCTAAGCTAGAGTAACTACAGAAATAAATTATCAAGTGGATGGCTGCCATAAAGAGAAAAAGCTTTTCAGGCTTTTAAAAAAAAAAAGTTTATTTATTTATTTAGAGAGAGAGAGACTGACGGGTGGGGGGAAGAGAGAAAAGAAGACAGCACAGAGCCTGACACGGGGCTCAAACCCATGAACCATGAGACCATGACTTGAGCTGGAGTTGGTTCCTTAACTGACTGAGTCACCCAGTGCCCCTAGGCTGGGGGCGGGGGGGCGGTTTGGGAAGAAGGGAAACATGTTAAAATCTAGAAAGCCAGAGAAGGCTTAGACTGATTTGGGACACAGTAACCTTAGTGAGACTTCCGAGGATGTAAGGTCCTGCTTGTCTTATTGCCCCATTTGAGTTTAAAGTGTTTTTAAAAAAAATTTTTTTTAATGTTTATTTATCTTTGAAAGAGAGAGAGGGAGACAACGTGTGAGTGGGGGAAGGGCAGAGAGAGAAGGAGACAAAGAATCTGAAGCAGGCTCCAGGCTCTGAGCTGTCAGCACAGAGCCCGATGTGGGCCTTGAACTCCCGAGCTGTGAGATCATGACCTGAGCCGAAGTCAGATGCTTAACTGACCGAGCCCCCCAGGCACCCCAACTCCCCGCCCCTCATATGAGTTTAAACTACAGAAGAACAGAGCTCACTTTCTAGAATCTCAGACTCTGAGGTAGTAGTGACTTGTAGGTGGTCTAGCCCCAGTCCCTCACCCCAAGCATGGGAATTCTCTCCACCCCGTCCCCCAAGATGGCTCCCCCACCTGCCTGCATCCTGCCCTGCAAGATAATTTAAAGGGCAAATGGCAGAGTTAAATAAAGCCTGGACCCAGGACCCAGTGAGCTCTCAAGAGATCCACCCATCAGGTCAGCTTTCAAGATGGTTCCCCCCATCCTAGCTCTAGAGCCTCAAATACCATCCTCAGCTTCTTCTCAAAGAAGAGATGGGTAGAGACATCACAGGTTTTTGGAGCCACACAGGCTTGGGTTCAAGTCTTGCCTGCCTATAATGCTCACTGGCTCCAGGGCTTTGGGCAAGGTGCCCCAGCTGTCTGTGCTACTCACCTGCAAAAGACCAGGATTAACCCCGCCCCACGGCCAGCCCGGGGGATGTGGTGAGGAGTCACTGGGTGCATGAGACAGACCAGCATTGGACACATGCTTCCACACCTACCTTCACACGTCTGCATGAGAGTGTGAGCATCTATGGGGATAGAAACTGCTTTCTTAGTCAGTGGTATTTATCCCAGAGCTGCGCATAGTGCTTTTGCCTGGTGTAAAAATAAGAGAAAAATAAAATACTCAAGTAACTTACAAGTGCCCCCAGAATCAAGAACAGAGCTCTGTATTCAGATAATCTCTTAAAGAGTTCTGTTCACAAACTAGCAAAACTCTGCTGCCCTCTGTCTTCTGAACAAAGACCTGTGCTGTGTACTCTGTCTAAAACGAAACTTAAGAAAATAGCTGACGTGTGTTCCTGACAGAGAAACCGAAACTGATGTGTTTTTTTCTTTTCCTCTCGCAAGTTGCCAGATAAAACCGAGTTACTCCCGAAACATGGCTCCCCAGCCTCAGGAGAAGAAAACAGTTTTAGATGTCAGGACATGGGACCAGATATTTCAAGAACTGATGCAGCAGGAGAAACCCCGAGCCAGATGGACCCTGAAGGTGGATGCGAATCTCGACCCAAGCTGCCTTGCAGAAGGGTGGAAGCAGTACGAGATGAGAGGATTTGGCAGGTGAGTGAGGGTCTGCCCTTCAGTGGGCATTCTCGGACAAAGAGGCCAGCCTAGCCTCAGCATCACCCTTGGGTTCCTTCCAGAACGTGTTAAAGGAACAAATGACACCAGGATCTCCCTTTGCACAGTATTGTTTAGTATGTAAATGCCCCCATTTTGTTTAATGCAGGAAGTTTCTTCTTTTACGAGGCTTCCTCCCTAAACCTGAGTGGAAACAATAAATGGGATTCTAGGGCACCAGGGTGGCTCAGTAATTAAGATCCGACTGTGGCTCAAGTCATGATCTCACGGTTCGTGGGTTCAAGGTCCACGTCGGGCTCTGGAGCCTGCAGCCTGCTGGATTCTGTGTGTCCTTCTTTCTCTAGCCCTCCCTCACTTGCACTCTGTTTCTCTCTCTTCCTCTCTCTCTTGCAAAATGAATAAACATTACAAAAAAAGAAAAAAAAAAAAAGGATGGATGCTTAACCGACGGAGCCACCCAAGCATCCCAAGCATTCCTTCTTCTACCTTTCCATAAGATAATGGTTTTATTTTATTAAAAAAATTTTTTTAAATGTTTATTTATTCTTGAGGGAGAGAGAGAGAGAGACAGAGCATGAGCAGGGGAGGGGCAGAGAGAGAGGGAGATACAGAATCCGAAGCAGGCTCCAGGCTCTGAGCTGTCAGCGCAGAGCCCAATGTGGGGCTTAAACCCACAAACCATGAGATCATGACCTGAGCCGAAGCTGGACGCTCAACCGACTGAGCCACCCAGGCACCCCAAGATAATGGTTGTAAATATATGTATTTAAAAACAAGCTGTTTATCTCTTGATGACTCAGTTTTTTTATCTGGACATTGGGGCCAATATTGCCTACCTCAGAGGGGAGCTTTAAACGTGAAATGGGAAAATTTGCCAAGCCCTTATTTCAGCGCCTGCCTCAAAGTAGGCCCTTTATAAGTTTTCTGTGATCATCAGGAGGACCAAATTTCACTGGCAGGTGGCAGAAGGACTTTTCCCCATGAGACACCCAGGCATGTTTTACTAGCAAAGAGGTAAATGTGGGACCACATAGGATGGAAGCTATGATGGCTCACAGGAAAAAAGCTTTGTTAAAAACACACTCCCTTTCATTCTTTTTTTTTTTTTTTAATGTTTATTCATTCATTTTGAGAGAGAGAGGGTGCAGGGAAGGAGCAGAGAGACCGGGAGAGAGAAAGAATCCCAAGCAGGCCCTCAGGTGTTAGCGCAGAGCCCGACGGGGCCTTGAACCCATGAACCGTGAGATCATGACCTGAAACTAAGTCAAGAGTTGGATGCTTACCAACAGTTGGATGCTTACCCAGCTAAGCCACCCAGGTGCCCAGCCCTCTCATTCTTATCTGGCAATTTGTCAATATCATATGTCCTTTTTCAAACTGGAAGAGATTCAGAGACTGAGGCCAGGCAGGCTCACCTCCCTTGGGTCAGCAATCACCTGAAGACACATGGTCTTGTCCCCTTATCTGCAGGTTCCAGTGTTCCTCATGCCATCGGAGTTGGGCTTCTGCTCAAGTGCATATCCTATGTCATATGCACCTGGAGCCCCACAAATCCCAGGGTCAGGTGATTATGCGCCTCTTTGCTCAGAGGTGCAAGAAGTGTTCCTGGTCTCGATTTGAGAACCCCGAGTTCTCCCCAGAGAGCGCCATGAGGATTCTGAAAAACGTGGTGCTGCGCATTCTGAAGAAATTCTACGAAAATGGCTTTAGGAAGTTTTCAGAGCTACCGATCATCCGGGAGGTGCCTTTGGATGGGTCCCACGACACAAAGAATTGTGAAGGATGCTCTCTCGGCTTATGCGTACTGAGATTACAGAACAGCACGACGGAGCCATCAACATCCCCATTCTCTTACATGGATATTACGAGTTCTGCATCTCCCGTTGGTCACGTGTCCAGCCAAAACCAGTGGAATGGGTATTGCTATGTCCCTAGGGGCTCAGGGTCCAGCCACACCACTGCTGAGCCCAAAGGGGAGACCAGTAGGCAGCTCACCCCAAAGGCAGACAGGCAGGCTGTGCAAGGAAATTTACAATCCACACAGAGGGCAGTGTCACAGGCCCCCCAGAGGACATACTCTGAGGTCGTCAGGAGGGCAGGCCAACAGTCCACACAGCAGGTGTGTTCACAAGCCACACAAGGGGCAGGTATGCAGACCACGCAGGGGACAGACCCAAAGACCACATTGAGGGCAATCCCAAAAGCTCCATCAGGGTCAGACACTCAGAATCCAGGGAGAATAGTTCCCTCTAGGTCAAACTTACAGCTCACATGGACAGATTCCATGGCCACACATGGGTTTTCGACCACCAGCGGAACTCAAGCTGTCCGGAGAAGTTCACCCAGAAATGCTGTTCCAAATGGCTATCCTATATATGCTCCGTTAATGCAACCAGATTACTTCGTTCACAACGATACATTGGACATGTTATTTTTCTGTGGTATTTGTTTCTTTACTGTGTTAGTAGTCAAATGGTTAGAAGAAGGAAGATGGCGATAAGCTTCTCTTCTTTTGTCTTAATTCCGTGGTAAACAGTGAACTGGTTGCCATTTTAGTATGACACAGAATATGCTTTGAGACCAAGCAGGGTCAAGTTTGTAAGAATAAACACTAGTTTCCTAGATCTCCTTAGCAGATAGTCTAAAACATAACCTAGCAGATAATGGGCCCAATAAGAAATATTTGATGACTTCGTAAAAGCTCTTTATTCATTCATACCCTCATTCATTTATCGGTATCAGTATACATGTGTGTGTGTATCTATAAATACCACATCTTGGCAAGAACTGAGGGTCATGAGTGTTATCAGAAAGTTATTGTGGTGGGCAGAATAATGCACTCCCCCCCCCAAAGTTATCCATGTCCTAATTCACAGAACCTGTACATATGTCACTTTACATGGCAAAAAGGACTTTACAGATGTGATTAATTTAAAGATCTTGAGATGAGGTGCTCATCCTGCCTTACCTGGACGCGCCCAATGTAATCACAGTGGTCCTTACAGAAGGGGGGCAAGAATGTCAAAGTGAGAAAAAGGAGATTTAATGACGGCAGGAGTGACGGGCCCATGCAGTGATGGGCTTTGAAGAGGGAGGAAGCAGCCACAAGCCAAGGGACGCAGGCAGCTCTTGAAGCTCATAGAGGCAAAGGAACAGATGTTCCCCCAGAGCCTCCGGAAGGAAACAGCTCTGCTGAGGTATGACTTCGACCCAGTGAGACTGATTTTAGGCTTTGGACCTTCAGAACTCTATGATAATAAAGTTGTGTTCCTTTAAGTCACTACATTTGTGGTAATTTGTTACAGCTGTAATAGGAAAATAACCCAGTTATCAATATCACTCCAAGGATCAGGCAATTATGTTTTACATTTTAACAAAAAAGAGCCATGTGTAGATTAGAAGTATCCATATGCTGATCCCCTCTTGTTCCTCCTTCTCCGCTTCTTAAATCTACCCTACTTAAGTCTACCTACTTAAATCTACCCTACTTAAGTCTACCGAATGCCCCCATCCAGAAGAGACTCCCTTTGATCTGGTGACCGCTGCAGCTATCCTAATCTCTCCAATGGCTCCAAGAGGGAATGCTTCTAAGGGGAACACAGAGGAGACTGAGAGCCTTCCCCCAGCTCCCATGGCATCTGCATGCATGGAGAAGAGTTCACACTTCCAACAGAGTTTGGAGATGCCTTAGACAGGAACACGGAAAAGCATGCAGAGAAACAGGAAATGAAAACCAAGGTGATCCTTAACTGTAGGGCTCACAAAAACAGTTGTACAAGAAAGTAAACGCAGTGAGACTAAGCTATATGGCTTAGCCATGATAGCATTCAAACAGTCCTAATATTAAATATCGTGACGGACTAGTCCTTTAACAAAACATTAGGACTCAAAACCGGGGGTGGGGGTGGGGGCGCTGCGGGTGTAAGACAGCGAAATCTTTATCTCGATGGTAGCAAATTCGTGGATGGTTTTGGAAATCGACAGGCAGAAACATGGAGTTTACCGACTAGATAAGACAAAAGTTAAGAGAGACAAAGGTAATTGCTTCTGCGAAGGAAAACGGAAGTGGGGAGGGGCAGGGAAGGGTGGATTTTTGTAAAAGACGTTACACTTCTCTTGAGCGCTGTACACATATGGCTTTCACAGACATTAAAATGAAACGTCACTTGTAAGGCATCTGATGAGATTTGCAAGCTCGTAGGGTTTCCCCATTCTGTACGCCTTTACTCTCACAGGCCTCTTCGCTGGGCTCTTCTCGCATCCGGGCTCTTCTGTCTTTTCCGGACCCCTCCTCCCGCCACAATGCAGACACTAGGAATGCAGTCGGGGGCTGGTGTGTTTTCTTTGCTAACACTGCCCCGTGGGTCAGCGGAGGGCGGGGTTGGGACCGCAGGAGGCCGGGGTGTGGACAGAGAAGAGCCCTGGCTGCAGCGAACTTTAAATCCACGATAAGACCCTTAAAATGTGCTCTGCCTTTTAACCTCCCTCGCGCCGCCAGTTCTGAACGTCAGTGGCAAACTACTCCCCGAAAATGGTATTTTGGTGGTCTCCATTTTATTTTTATTTTCTTTAAATGTTTTTTATTTATTTCTAGGAGAGAGAGAGAGAGATCGCGTGAGCAGGGGAGGGTCAGAGAGAGAGGGAGTCACAGGCTGAAACAGGCTCCAGGCTCTGAGCTGGCTGTCAGGACAGAGCCCGACGCGGGGCTCGAACCCACGAACCGCGAGATCATGACCTAAGCGAAAGTCGGACGCCCCAAGGTGGTCTCCATTTTAAACAGATGGCTGCGGTTACGGGTGGGGTTTTCATAGTATGCAGACATCACTGCGGACAGACCTCCACCGAGGATCTCCTGGAAATGACTGCAGAAAATCCCGGCGGGGGCGGCCAGCCCGCGAGCCGACCCGGAGCCAGCGCCCAGAATCGGGACGCCGGGGACTCCACCAGCGCCAGGCCCGAGCTGCGCGGCCCCCGTCCGGGTCCCCCGCTCGCCAGCCGGGGAGGGACGGCCTGGAGGCCGGGACGGTGCCGACCCGCGCGCGCCGGGCACCTCCGCTGTCCCCGCTTTGCGCTTGCGCCGCACGGCGGCCGCCTGCAGCCGAAGCCGCACGGGCCCACATAGCCCTCCCGCCACGCCGGGTCTGGCTTCGGAGACAGCCCCGATGCACAGGGGGCGCCCGGCCGCGGGGTGGGGCGCGGCGCCCCCCGGCGGAGGCCTGGGTCAAAGGGGCAGGCGGGGCTGGGGCGCGATGACCACTTCTGTCCTGCCCCTTCTTCTGCACTTCTCGCTCCCTGCTTGTAGCTGGAGGGAAGCCACCCGCCCTTTCCTTTAGCTTTTTTTTTTTTCTTGCTAAGGCTGTGATCCTGGAGACAACTTGTCCCTGAGTTTTGTAAAGGGATGTGCGATCTGTTTGGAATTGCCTTTCCTTCTCAGAGACACAAATGTTCCTTCGCCCAATGTATTTGGAGAAACTTCTTTTTAACCTGGAGTGGATACTCCCTAAGTTCTCTGTCTTATAAAGGAAGACGGTGAGGGTGTGTGTGTGTGTGTTTTAAAAAGACCCATTCGGGGTGTTAAATAGGTACATCGTCGTTTTCTGATTAGATCTCCAGGATAACATACCCAAGCACTTGGTGATTTTGTTTCAATGGCATCTTGTGTAACCACTCAGGATCCAATAAATATTACGTGATCTGGCCTTTCCTTAGGCCCAAGCTTCAGCAATTCACCGCCCCTGCCTCCCCCCAAGCCCCCAAACCCCCCACCCCAGTCCCCCAGCCCCACCTTAAACTGTGTAGTTCAGGAGCTCTGATGTCCCTGGATGTGGCTGGCCTTCAGGAAAGCCTGACTCCATACCCAAGCTGAGGAATTAACTGGAATCCTGAAACAAAGCATGGGGCTATTACTGGAGGGAAGAAGCGTGTGCAGAGAAATTCAGCAGCACGTTGCGCAGTCATGAGTAAGTATTTTATCAGTCAGGCCTAGTGGCCAAGCTGGGATCAGAGACAACAATATTTATTTTATGAACACTGTGAGCACTGAGCTGATTCTGAGGCAAACAGATCTGACCTGAGGAGGCTCAGCAAAACCCCCCCAACTTTTAACAAGATCAAATCATCCCCTGAAATGGAGAACTTTTTCTATGTGTTGGTCATTAACTACAGTCCAGGGCCAAAAAGCTGTGGATTTCAAGGAATACTAAATGCGTCCAGGGGTCTTTCCTGACCCAGAGCTCTCAGGTCCTCTGTCCCATCTACCCTTCACACCTTCACCCCGTGGAGTCAGGGCGCTTCCAGCTGCAGTACGATGGCTAAACATCCTCGGACCAAGAAGGCAGAGGGAGAGAAGCCTCGGAAGGACAGATTCATCAGATGTCAGACCCGGAAACAGGTGTCCAGAGCGATCCTGACCTGCCCCCTCGCAGCAGGGGGACTGTGGGTGTAGCTGTGTGACCTCTGTCGCCTCGGTGGGAGCCAAAAGCTACCAAGTTCCACTTTAGGATGTCAAATAGGTGAACGCTCAGCGGAAGACGCCTTACCATCCAAATTAAACAAATTAAACATCCTCTAAAAGCCTGGGGATGTGGGGGCGCCTGGGTGGCTCAGTCGGTTAAGCATCCTGCTTCAGCTCAGGTCATGATCTCACGGTTCGTGGGTTCGAGCCCCGCGTCGGGCTCTGTGCTGACCGCCAGCTCAGAGCCTGGAGCCTGCTTCAGATTCTGTGTCTCCCTCTCTCTCTCTGACCCTCCCCTGCTCACGCTGTCTCTCTCTCTCTCAGAAATAAATAAAACGTAAGTCAGGCAGAGAAGGACAGATACCATATGTTTGCACGTATAGGAGGATTAGGAGGAACTTAACGGAGGATCATGGGGGAGAAGAAGGGGGGAAATGGGGGGGAGAGGGAGGGAGGGAAACCATGAGAGACTCTTGAATGTTGGGAACAAACTGAGGACTGATGGTGGGGGGGGGAAGGAAAGGGGGGGTTGGGCAGGGAGGAGGGCACTTGTGGGGATGAGCACTGGGTGTTATATGGAAACCAACTTGACAATAAACTATTTTTAAAAAAAGAAATAAAACATTAAAAAAAAAGCCTGCGGATGTGGAACTAGGAGTTTCTAAGGTTTGTATTGGGAAGTGGGGACTGGTGGAGGCAGGGAGAGGCAGTAAAAACAAAACAAAACAGGCATAAATTCAGCAAAACAATGTAGTCTGCTTCCTGGGAACTTCTAGAACAATCCCGGAAAGCTGCGAAAGAGGGTTTGAGGTGGCTTAATGACTCAGGGACCTTAGAGACCTTCTAGTCCTAAGGCGTCTTTTAACAGATAAGGGAACCAAATCCTTGGAGGCAGAAGTGAGTTGCCTGTTAAAACATACTTTTCAGAAAGATAAGGCCACATCTTTCATACAGATGTTAAATGAATAAGTTTCAAAGACTTTATTGAGCTCATTAATGAAATGCGGAAAGATTTAAAACTGGCCCAGATGCAAAGAGCTTCTGAGACACTAGACAGTGTAGGTAATCTAATGGCTTGCGGGGTCACAAGCCGTACAGAAACTGGTTTGTATTGTACAGGATTATAAACTATAAACCTCGAGGCTATTAGTTCCAATAGGAAGAAATTATTTGCATTTCTATGGAACAAAATTTTCCAAATAAGCCTTTGCCTTATAGTGAAGAAAAACAATCCTGTAAATAGAAAGTCAGGTCTGGCACTACTGAATGAATACCCAATAATCTTCTCTTCCTACTTCCAAGTTTCAGATAATGTTGTTAACTTGTTAAAATCACGCTAATAATTGCTAGTAGATGTAGGATAATCACTGAAGTCTCATCCTACCCAGACCACTCTTTCTGTTCTTGCAACTCAATCCATAAAGACCATGAGGGACAAGAGCCCAATCGTCAATGGGAGAAAGGACCGCTTAGGGAAGTGGTGCAATCCCTGCTTTTTGTCTGTCCAGCCCATCTATCCCCTCAAGGTTCTGCTCGCGTCAACATAGACCTTTGAGGAAGCCCCAAATGGGTCCTAATTACCACCTTCCCCAAACCCAAGGTATAGTCTCAATATTCCCTGTCTTCCCTAGAAGAGGATCCCTGAATCATCCCATCACCCACCCTTCCACAGTCAGTCCACATGTTTCACAATCTCTGGGCTGCTTTCCTGCATAGTCTCTGTTGGGATCTTCATTAGATGTTTTCAAGTGACGTTAGAGGACACCTAGTGGAGATGTTAACCAAGGGGATTTAAGTGCTGAGTGTACTCGGTTGGCATACGAATCTGT